AGGCCTTAGCTAAGTCAGTAATGATCAAAAGGCTCCATTTACCAATTTCACGCAAAACACCATCAACGTTGGGCATTAGCGAAGGTTGCGGCTTGCTGTACTGAGCAAACTCACAAAATGAAGTAACAAGTCTGGTTCCACCATTGGGTTTCCGTATCAATAAGGAAGTGTTGAGATATTCAACCTGGACATTGACCTGCTCAGGCCTAGCGAAGACACCCATTGACTCCAAATCATCAAACTTTGCCTGTAACTCCTCCATGGTGCCCCTGTTGTATTGGGGAAGTCGTCCTTTACGCTGAGGAGGGAGAGGTGGACCCATATTCACAACAGCTTCGATAGGTCCACTCGCGCCGTTATACTTGGAAATGGAGGGGTTGAAAACATCATCAAACTCGGTGTGGAGTGACTTGAATCTATCGCGGATGGTTGAGTCTAAACAGGAGTCGGGGTCAACGACGACATCACGTGAAAAGGGCTTTGCATTGGTAGAAGGCGTATCACGTACACTGGTGGAAGGTAGGGGGTCATATGGTACGGACTTTATAGGAGTACTGGTAACGGTCTAATTTGGCAAAGCTGTTCACCACTTTTCAGCACAATAGGCGAGTCAGTAGAATTGATGATACGCACTGTATGATCCACGGAGAGAATGTCTTGTGGTGGAGGCCAGGCCTCCTCGCATGAGGAATGCACATTAGAAGGACTGTCCAATCTAGGCTCAAAGGCCCAAACTGCGTCGGGCTCCAAATCGCATGGTGTAGAGAGCTGAAGGTATTCACCAGGTAAAACCACAGTGCGTTTGGGATTGCGTAGTAGGAAAGCCTGGGTACGTCGCACGCTGGAATGTGAAGATCGACTAGGTGAACCGCCGTTATTGATAACCTCAGTACCATTTATCACGATCTGCCGTTTCGCTGGGCGAACGCCAATGTCATTTCGGGACATAAACGGGTTTCCTGCCAGAATATCGACATCCAACTGTCGCACAACTAGAGCATCGAGCTCAAAGTTAAGTTTTCCTCGAGTGATGGAGCAGTGCACTTCTCCTACAACATCCATGGGAGTAACACCGTCTGCCTGACGAGCGACCTGGGACGCTGGGGTAATTGGAAAACCAAACATACGGGCAGCAGATGCCCGGACCATGTTAGATGTAGCGCCGGTGTCCAATGTCAGCTTTACAGGGTGTTCATTGAAAAATGTAAGGAGAACCGGGGATTGAACGATGCTCACACGGTGGGCGACAGGCCCTTCAACGCTCATTGACTGAGCGATGCTGTCGAAATCAGAGTCTATGACTTCATTTTCTTCCTCGTGACAGGATTCGGCATCACCCTCGGTCACAAGACGCGAGCGACTTATGGACTTCCTGTCACGTTCAGGAAGGAAGCGACAATTCATGAGATCATGTGTGGTATAGGGTCGGTTGGCTGTTTTGCATAAGATGCATGACAATGCGGGTCTCTGCCGTGATCTGTCCTTACTCTTGAAACCGTACCCCTTTGAGAATGTGTTGCTGACACGCATAGCCTTGGTATCCTCTATACAGCGGAGCTCATCGAGGAGAGAACTGAGGGCCTGAGAAATTTCAGGCTTTAAGGAGGCGAGTGACTTATTACGAAGCTCAGAACCATATTTCTGCTTCACAAGAATGGGTAGGCCTGGATGAACGAGTTGGAGCCATATGACAACAATGGTGTTCTCCAGAGTGGGAGTAAGATCCTCGTCTACCTCAACAGCTTCACCGTGATGTGTAACGCCGCAGTTGGCAGTAAGTAAATTGTCCTCAAAAAATGCTGTAAGCCGTTGGAACAGATCCTCAGGTCTTTCGTCTGGCTGTAAAGATATGCTCGACAAATCTAGAAAGTGAGCACCGGTGGACTGGAAGCCGTAGTGTTGTCTGGTTTTTTGCCGGACATCATTTAGGGAAAGTGAGCATTTTACTATGGAGTTTCTTGAGATGACGGGGCAAAAATTGGCAATCTGCCCTAACATTAGGTCTAGGTGGGCATTTTTCTGAGCGGCGGTCAATCGCTGGTCTGCCGGGATGGGGTCGTTATCATTAGTGAAACCGCTATGGGGGTTTGTAGCGGTTTTCTTTTGCCATGTTGCCTCTAGGCAAGGAACAAAATTCTTGTCCAGTGAAATAATATACACAAGGTTCTGTCGCCAACCTTCATACGATGCTATTGTCTCATGCTTTGTTAATTGCCATTGTTTGGGGGATCTTGGGGCAGCCATGTCGCTATATCACACTAAATGGTATTGATATGATCAGGATGATGAAATGAACACACAAAAATACAGACACAATTCACGATCGTGTTGAATACATAAAATAAAGGACGAATTGGATCACAGTTCACAAGAAAAAACAGCGGGTATGACGTGGAATGAATGAAAATTCTTATTTGATTATGTGAATCCTGTAGGCCCTAACGTTCCGAGCCCCTATGTAAACGCGGTTGTTGTTGACGTTACAGCCTTCACTTTAAAGTACAGATGTCACGATGTTGGTTGACTACACGTTCATTAGAGTCTTCTAGGCATGGGTAATGCGCTGCCACCACGCCAATAAGGAATGACACCGTGTTCTGATGGTAAAGACTTTATGTAACACAACGCACAATAACCACATGTTACAACAAAATGGAATCAAGCCGGAAGAGGAAGTGCCCAGCATGGGGCCGCTTAGAAGTCAGTGACGAGGCCGCTTGATATAAGAGAAAGAAAATAACGTACTGGCGATGGGTAAAACCACTATATAAGGATTGAAGCAGGCTTCATACAATATGGATGTAACCGATTTGCCTTCATACCGGCATGGAAATTAAAAACAACAACACCGCCGTTTAATCCATATATCTACACTTTTATTTATTGCGTTTTGTATATGCGTCATCCTTTAACGACATTGGTGGAACAGTCCTATTTGAATGACATTGGCGCCAAAAATTAACCGTAGTCATTTGAGCGTTTGACGCAGGGGCATCATCCATGTCATTCGAAGCGAAGCAACAAAACCCTCATTGAACAAGGTTAATCAATGACGTCATAAGTGAACCACGTGTTATGTCACGAGAGTTTTTGCTTTCATACTCAAATGAAAAGCAGTTCTGCTGGTAATGTTCTTATAGCGAGTTGCAGCGCAAATGTAAATATATGACTGTTCTTTTAATAATAAAAAAATACGGATGAAAAAAGCCTCTCGAGTCTTGACATTTTGCTTGGAAAAGCAACTACAATTTATCATTCGACTGTAATACATTGTCATTGGACGTGACTAAATTATCCAAGCTGGGACTGGAACAATAATACTAATACCTGGAAGAATTTTCCCCAAATTTCATTTGTCATTTGTGACTTCGTCTACTTGCTGGATACGACGCCGGAATAGTGCAAATTGTTGAAACACCTACTAGAAATGATTATACGCTAGATCTAGTTATAACCGATACGACCAATCAGGTCATCCAATTCAATTTCTTACCCCAACAAAGACTCTACATTTCTGTAAATTCAGGTCGTGCGAAAATCAGCTCATAGAGTTCATAGATAATATATCAGAGGTAATTGTAATTAACAATATAAAAAACCTATGTAAAGATGTAATCAAGACATGTCATACCAAATGCTCACATCTTTGACTGAATTGTCTCCTGTTTTACTTGTTGATTAATAGAATACTTCAATCCCCTTGAGATGAGATAGGGGAAGCTCAACCCTCAGGGAAGGATTCTTAAGTTGCCAAACACGAGGATTATCAACTGAAAAATCGTCCCCGAGGGTTGAGATTCTCGATCTCACCTCGAGGGGTGTCACTGATTCTTTTTCTCTTATCCTGTTGACCGTGTCATATACATAATGCATCGTTGACGTTGTGGGCTCATTGCATTGTTGACGTGACGTCTTACAATTCTTTTTAGAAGAGAATCTCCCGTCTCAACCCTAGAATGATATTAATAGAATCCATCCGTGATGTGAGGTATGGATACACAATTGTAAGGTTATTCAAACCTTCGGGATAAAGCCTCGTGTCTCATGCTCAATATTTCATCCCTTAATTGGTTTTGAATTACCTTATTCATACCTTACACCAAGGATGGATTATTTTAATCTCACACCGGTAAAAGTGCGGATACACCTGTCCAGGGTAAGAGCAAAGGATATCCAAGATGAGTTGAAACACTCTACCGCAGTATATATATACCACCTCTATCGATTCTCTTGGTTCCTTCAAATTAGCGCTTCTTCACATGTGTTAGACCTCTTGGGTTTATCACGTTTTTACCCAATGTACAGTGTAGCTCTCTCATTTGCCAATTCAAGCAGCTGAAGCTGTCCCAGAGACATATACACAAGGCAACTCATTCCACCAATCTGATCTGTGCATGGAATTCCTCTTCAAATGGCGGGATGTAGAGACATATATACATTTGCAGGGGTTTGGCGGTTTATTCAGTGGCGGATCCAGAGTTTTTTTGGGGGCTTCAGGAAACCCCCCACCCTGAGAATTTTCTTTAAAAATCATGTATTTTCACCATTTCCCTCAATTTTTCCCCACTTGGAAACCCCCTCTGGAAACTTGGAAACCATCATTTTTTTATTTCCATTTTCAAATATTCAAATTTCAAACGACTCTAATTAATATTCTGTAAAATGTATAGCAAACTACGTGAATTATATGTAATATTACTATAGGAAATGCATTTATGATTAACAACGGAATAAGATCATGGTACCGTTAAGTCCGTGTTTAAACAAATATTCCATAAAATGACTAATGCAATAATATATTTTAACTTGTATCTATCCTTTACATTAAAAGGTATTTCATTCACATAGAGACGTACATACTACTGGCTTTATATGCCTCTGATTCAAACATAAAAAAAAATCGTTAATTTTACTTGTGGTCATTTTTAATGTTGTATTTTTGTAAAATTCCGGAACGGACCTTCCTTTTCCGTATCATAAATTAAGACGTTTACCAAATATCCGGGATGCTTTTTGATGGAGTAGATGAACATGGATAAAAACATAACAATGGTTAAAGACGTAATCTCATCCAACCCCGAGATAATTTTGTCATTCGCAGAGTAAGCATTGCTGCCTGTTTTCATGTGCATCTCAGCTTTTATTCGTGATGTTGCGTATATATAAGTGATTAGGCCTGCTGTCAGATAGTCTGCTAAAATTCTGATCGGTTGCCTGTTTACGCATATTGTCAGTTTAAGCGGACTACAGTAGCTGTCAGACTGTCGCTGGCTTCCACTGTTATGCCAATCGAACAAACCACAGTGAGGTCATGTGGCATTTTCACATACCCGGGTAAAACCCTTTGTATATTTTTTTTTAGCAAAATCTCGAAAATGCATAATATATAGTATACACATAATCAGTGTGTCCAGCACATGTGCTCTGAGAATATACATGATTAACCCACCTGAGTTTTCTCTGGCCCGGGCACCAGACTTAGATATGTTTACAGATAGATTTCTTGTTTGGAAACCAGACATTTATATCATTATCTGTCAACTAAAAGCATCAACCGACAACAAGAATCTTCAAGTGACAACAAGCGTCACCTGACCAAATCTTTAAAAAACCAGAATGAAGTAACTGACATCAGGAGATACACTGTTCCTATGACTTATACAACTGTACCAAATTTTAATTTGATATTTGAAAAATTGGCCGTGTTATGATGAATTGAATTTTTACGATCAGCTGTGTGGCATGTGTGTGTGTAAAAGATGTTGATTAATTAGGTTGCCTTACAAGCGTCAGCTGTAAGGAACTTCCCTTTAGCTCAGCGGTAGAGCATCAGGCTGGAGAGCCAAGGGTCAGGGGTTCGAGCCCCAGCAATGGCACTATTTTTATCACTATTCCTCTACTATTACATGTGTATATAGAACTCTGCTGATCAAGATTAAGTGTTTTCAGACAATATCTCTTCAATTTGATCCTTCAAGAATGCAACATAAGAAGATATGTTATTCATACAACTATATTTACATTTGTGCTGCAACCCACTATATGAACATTACCATCAGAAATGCATTTCATTTCAGTATGAAAGCAAAAACTCTCTTGACGTAACATGTGGTTTACTAATTATGATGTCATAGATAAACCTTGTTCAATGAGAGGGCTTCATGCAATATATGGATGGAACAAGTTTGCGTTCATACTGGCATTAAAATAAAAAAGAAACGCTGTTCAATCCCTATATAGCTTATGACACCTATAGCTATATACCATGTTTCAGGTCGATATTTGAAAAAATTACTGAGTTATCGTGAGGTTCAATTTTTTGATATACAAGCATGAACATTAATGGCGTATCACAAACGTGTATGTACTGTAGGACTTTGAATTGATGCGCTAATTATGTGGCCTTAAATATTAAATGTTTTACAATTATTTTTGTAGACATCATCTCCAAAACAAAACTCTGGAAAAAATTCAACTGACAACATGAATGCTTATTGTCAAACCATGCAAAATTACACTTATGGATATTCAAAATTTTGCAGAAAAAAAAGAAAAAAATCCACTTGCAAAACAAAATAATTACAGGAACTGTTTATGCTATTGATGTCTAAGTTTTCAGATATGAAATAAAACACAGCATTTTAGTAATCAAATAAGTCTGACGATCCTGCTAATTTAAACCTTTAATTCAGAATATTAAGGAAAGAACACCCTAACCAACTTACAAAAAAAATGTACAATACTGCCTTTGTTTCCATTTTCCTTTGCCTCGAATATTTTCAAGTGTACTTTCACAGGTTTCATAAATAATTACTAACTAGAGATTAAAAGGAACATAGATTTTACAGTTTAATTTGTTTGAACTCATTTTCTTAATTTGTCCATTTCTTCTTGTTTTAGGTATCCCTGGTCTTGCGGAGATAATACTCTGATAATTAAACTTTGACAACTAAATAGGAAAAAAATACTGATATGATCTACAGACTGTATACCCTGCAAAAATAGGAGAAATCTACAGTTAAATCATCCAGATGATGTAACAGCATCATACAAGCATGGAAATGTCTGATTGTTCCATGTACAATGGAAATCTCCAAGGTATCCAAACTGGATTTAATGGAACCTACGAACCAACCGATTCCATCATTGTGCGAACCAAAGAAATTCAACAACCATTTGAAGTTGTGGGTAAAGGAGAATCTCACAACGATGAAATAAATGATAACACTTGGTCTGATGATAGTGGATATGAGTTGAATCAGAGTCACAATGATCATTTCTCTGAAGAAAAGGACACTCTTGCTGAAGATGACGGGATGGTTGAAAATGTAAAGGGAAAACAACCCATATTGATGACAGTTGGCGAATATCATCCAGGTATTCAGTCTGATTTTGAGGTCAAAACAGGTGTAACCACCGAAAATTCAAATAGTATTCTCTCCGATCCCTCCACATCATCTTCCTCAGACCAAACTGAGGCTGCGGACCTAATAATTGATTCCGGAAGACCAGTGGAACAAACCTTTTTTGAAAGTGAGGAAAGCAATCCTTTAATAAACACTTCCATATCTGGAAACAGTGATCAAAATGGTGAGTTCGATTCTGTTTATGAGGTACAAAGGGAAACAGCTTGCAAAGCAAAAGATTCAGAACGCTCATCAAGAATGAAGATTGACTTATTTAAAAGTAAAGGAAGGGTGACTGATTCCGGCTACATATACAGAAATGAAACTGGTGAACCAAGTCTTGTCAGTCCTTGTACTACAGCACTAGCTGAACATCAGGACCTCGACCCGACACGGTATGGACCCAACGGAAATCTAGACAATCGTTGTGAGCTCTGTGGCAAGACCTTCAGCCAACCGTATTTACTTAAAGTCCACTTTAGAATTCATTCAGGATTTAAACCTTACAAATGTGAGCTCTGCAGCAAGGGATTTGCACAGAGTTCTGGACTGAGGTCCCATAAACTCACACATACCGGCGAGAAACCCTACAAATGTGACATTTGTGATAAAACATTCACCGCAAGTGGGAGTTTGAATATGCATTATCGGACACATAATGGGGAGAGGCCGTTTTCTTGTGAAGTTTGCGGTCGTACGTTTCGTTACCGCAGCGCAATGAATAAACACATCATGATCCACACAGGCGATAGACCATATACTTGTGATGACTGTGGCAAAGATTTTAGTCGAAAAGGCAACCTCGAGACGCATAGACGCATTCACACAAACTCCATGCCCTATCAGTGTGATATATGTAAAAAAAAGTTCAACCAAATGAGTAACCTACGTACACATGAAGTGACACACACACTCGTTAAGCCCTATAAGTGTGACCTATGTGGGTCAGAGTTCTTCACCAAGTTTAACATGCAAAGACATATTGTAATTCAGCATATAAAAAAGAAGAGATAATGATTTTTTTTTGTGTAAATTTATTAAAAAGAATAAATATCTATGTGAAGTAGGTTAGTATAGAATAAATAAAATGTAACTACCAATCAGCTTTCACACTTCACAGGGATCTTCAGGTTTTTTTAAATGAACAAAATCATGACGCCACAATTACATTTCAACACACTGCAGTAGTAATATGATGTTACAATGTACACAAGATTTGTGGACAAACTAGCACAAAATTTTACTTTGGCCTATTGAGGCAAGATTTTTAATATTTGGATGAATGATCTCCTGAAGAGCCATGTGAAGGGTGAAATCTGCTTGTTTTAAAGTTGTTTATTATTTATCTTATAATTTCTAAATATACCGGTTATATAATTAATATATCAAGTACACAAGACTGACCACTAGGCTGACCACTAGGCGCATATATGCTGGCAAATGAACATTAATTTAGAACTGTTAATATAAATATTATACATTATTTAAAACATTCTTGTGATGCCATCCATTGTTATAATTGTCCATTATATAGAATATGAGTACTGTTATATGCATAACTGTCCAATATGTTACAAAAACTGTCCAATAAGATCATAAAACTGTCCAATATTTTAATATTGTACAGTTTGTTAAAAATAACGGACATGTTTTTGGACCAGTTTAAGTAGAACATAGAAACTGGAGCATGACAATATATCCATCAAAATTTAATTGCATTATTGAAACAATACAAAATTGACACAAGGGTGATCAATCCACTGGATATATACAGGTAAATCCACTGTTACAGATACAATGTACTCCCTTTTAGAATCTTAGGGTAAATGACACCTCACCCGCGCTAACAGATAACTCCCTATTATTAGTATTAGTATTACTGGAGTCAGCAAGTTTTAATTTTTTCACTGGTGATGCCATATTTTCAATTCCTTGCACAACACTGCTAACATTTGCCAGCTGCGCATCACATGTACGCTTATATGAACGAATGGCCGCTGACTGATGTCCAGTTTTTTCTGCCACTAATTGTTCGTCGAATCCTGCCTTATAGAGGCGTGTCGCAGCAGTCGCTCGTTGGGAATGGTTAGTGAAATATCCTTCAAATCCAGCCTCCTCACGCAACTTCCCCACTGTCTGCTGCAAGATATGTACACCCAGTGGAGAATCACAGTACCAACAGTCCGGGCTGGGGGTCTTCTTTGGCCTTAGGTACAATGCACTGCATTTTCCGGTTTTTGGTCTGGAAGATTTTTAAATTGTAAACCTTAACAGTTAGAATGAAAAGGAAAATTGAAATTTTGTTTTAAAAAGGTAAAGTTCTATTTTCCAACATAAT